GACACATGCTGCGCTTTGCCCTGAGCCTACTTCAGCCGCTGCGCTCCTTTTGGGGTTGGTGCCACAGCAGCGTCGCAAGGCAGGCGTTCTTCTGCCATGTTGGCCGCCTGACCCCGTGGCACCCGGCCAAAAGACGTGGCCAGCGCAGCTCCCAGGCTCATTGCTTGCTCCATGGAGTCGGTGGCGTCGACGAAGATGTGGTAGAGGTCGTCCCACGAGGTTTCCATTCTCTTCCAGCCGAGTCGTTCGGCCATGGACATGTCCCCCCGACTGACTGCGTCGGCTATGTTCGCCTGCGAGGTGACTCTTTCCCAGTAGGGCTGGTGGTCGCACTTGTTCAGGAAGCTCCACAGGAGTCCCAAGAGGCGGTTCACCTTGGTGTCCTTGCCGAATCCTCGCTGGAGCGCAAATTTGCCCGGCTCGTTATCGATGAAGCAAATGCTCATCTCTTCCATCATTGGCATGCCGACAATGAGGCACAGGAGTTGGGCAATGATTTCCAAGGCATAAATGAATGCCCTACGGGTGGTGAACCGTCCAAGGAGCCGTCCAGGAATCTCGCCATGGGCATAATGACACTCACCGTCGGGTCGGCGAAGCACAAAGCCCCAGCCGTTCTTCATGAGGTTCGTGGCTTCCGCGGTCCAGCCTGGTTGCTCCAGTGCCGTTCGGACCGACAGTCTCTGGTCTCCAGCCTGAAAGTATGCATCAGCGTACACAATTGTGCAAGCTGTCTTGGTAAAGTTGAATGTTCTTGGTTTGAGACTCGGTAAGACATGCAATAACGTTTGCAAAGCGTCTGTGATCCCACTGCCTAGTGGGGTTTGTGCATGTTGGATGGGTGCACTTGCGCGTGCATACAGTGGCTGTATGCAACAGCGTATGGCCTGGGACATGGTAGCCTCGGATATGAATTGGAGCTTGCCGGCCAATCGAGTGGCCTCATCCGAGGACATTGTGGCCTTGTGCAAGTGTCCGCGCAGTTGTGCTGTGATGCGCTGCATGCGACCGAGTTCGGTGCTAACGGTGAAGGACGTGGCATCGATGGACATGATGACGCCTTGGATTAACTGCCGTGGGGCGGGGGGTTGGTCTTTGCTTGGTTTGAATTTGAAGCCCACGTGCTTCATGATGTGGTGCACACAATCAAAGCCCGATTGGATCGTTTGTTCCGGTTCGATCGATGCATAGTCGTCCACATAGTGCACCATGGGTGAAAGTGTGAGGGCACGGCATAGCCAGCAAATCATGTCTGCTGTGCATGTGTACGACCACACCGAGGCTGTGCTCCCGAACAGGAGGCATCTATGTTTCCAAAGCGTCCACCCCCCGGGGATTCTGACCAACACGTGGGTGTGATCGGGTTCTGCTACTGGTAGTTGCCGGTATGCTGACTCGTGGTCGGCCCCCCACAGGTGTGTGCTGAATCCTTTTGCATGGAATTCATTGGCGACTGCAATGAATGTATTGACCCTATGTGTCGGTGGGATGTCTTCCCCCTCGATTGTCTCGTTGTGCCTGCTTCGTTTCCAGTCCTCGCACCGTCGGACCTTGGTCTGTCCATCGGCGCCGGTCTGCTCGACCGAGAATGCAAAGCTTGTGGGGACGTGGTGTGATGGCCCCTCCTTCAGTGCCTGTGTGTTCGGGTGATGAGTGGAGGGGATTGTCCGTATGGTGCAGCTCGGTGGGGCTGTCAGGGGACCAATCATTCTCTGTTTCTCGATGTCTTTCGAGATTTCCTCCAGCAGTGACTGCCAGTGCTTATCTGGTTTTGTCTGATGCACTCTGGACAGTACATGCTCTTCGTTCAACTGCATGAACGACGACAGACGCATCGGCTGTGCGTACTTCATGTCTTGTCTCTTTTCCCAACCTAGGCCTGGGCTCATCTTGCCCAGCACTGGAAACCCTTCTTGGATCTCGGCTAGCAATCTCTGGTCCTCCCACCCAAACTTGTGCAGGAGTTGGGCTAGTAGTGGGAAGTGAATTCGGTTCGGGCCTGATGGATCGAGAACGATTCGAATGTTTTCGGGTCTCAATTTGTGCCAGGCCTGGAGATCGTCCTCGAGGTCCAGTGCCATGTCCGTGATCTCCTCGATCAGCTGTGCTCGGAGGGCTGGCAGCCGCTGGTGCCATTGGTGCCATAAATTGATGGTCTGTGTCAGGCCCGGTTCAAGTGGGTCGGCCACATCGTGCGGGTGGCTTCTGAGCCAGCTGGCTTGCCAGTGTTGGTGAAGGCATGTGCACTGGGTCATCCAGTGTTCGCCCTGCTCCCCCTTGTGCGGTCCACTGGCGAGTGGTCCTGATGCCCAGATCGATGCCAGGGTGTCGATGGCTGTGTGTCCAAGCGGGTCCAGCTCCGGCCCCGGCGGGAGCGAGGCCTCCGCTGCTGGGAAGCAGGTCAGCATGGTCATGACCAGGATGGCAGTGCCTAAATGCCAGCTGTTCGCCAGGATCTTGTGTCGTTCTCTGTCGTCCTGGGCTGGTGCCGTGAAGTCGTCCTCCAGGTGGTGGAGGCGCTCTTTCACCAGGATGCTTGGTGTCACGAGCTCACCCCGTTCGTTCTCGAACAGGTTCTCTTGGCGGAAGTGCCATGGGGCGAATTGGCGCCCGGACAGTTCCCATCGGTGGAACGTGGCAGAGTCCAGTTTTCCTTTCACGGATCTGGGTGCGGGGCGTCCCTCAGGGCCTGGTGCTGGGGATGTCAGGGTGGGGAGGGTCTTGCCTTCCTCGAGGCACTTCGGGGGCTTCCACTTAGGAGGCAGAATGGATGCCACTGGGTCTGGGGGGAATTCGAACGTCAGGTGGTCGGTGTCATAGAGCTTCGTCCAGCGAATCCTCCAGCCCATGGCGGTCTCGCCAAATTGCTGCCACCCAGCATCTGTCCAAAAGACTCGGGGTCTCTTGACAAGTCCCCAGTCCTGGGCGTCCATGATGATGGCAGGGACTCCCACCTCCGCCTCAAAGTGGCGAAGATCCGCTTTGCGGCTCATGATCACGTTTTCGATCATGCGTAGGACCTTCCTCTCCCTGAAGAGAGCGCTCGGGGCCGCGAACCAGCGGAGCATGTTGTCGAACTTCTGGCCCTCGGGGCCGTCCCTGCCTGGGGCATCAGGTCGGATTCGACTGAAGTCTGGACACGGCGGTGCGGCCGTGAGTAGGATCGCGCACTCCTGGTTCGGGTCGATCTCGTCGATGCGGGCCTTCAGGGCTGCCTGTTCATCCTGGAAGATGTCACCCCTCTGCTCGAGGTCCGGCCATCGGTGGGACGATATGGCCACACAGGCTTCGTCGATCTCCCAGGAGATTCGGTGCCAGATGCGGCGACTGCCAATCACGATGTCGGCAGCCTCATGAGCGATCCCGCAGCCGTCGAAGACACTGAGGACGATCCAGGCCTTTGCGGTCGGCTGTGGTGTGGGTGTTCCGGGGGCGATGTATCGACTCAGCCGGCTGTCAGGCTGTGGTGTCAGTGTTTTCTGCCGCTTCGGCCCGGGTACTCCCTCTGGTTCAGGGGGAGCCCCGTGCTGTCCCTAGCCAGAGTGCTTCCCCGCCGAGGATTTCTTCCACGGCTGGGACTGCCATGCATCACTGGACTTCCATTGCGGCCACTCTCGTTTCCATGGGCGATCCTGTGAGGACTGAGGTGAGGTCCAGGATGATGACTCCTGGCGGTCGTGCTTGCCGCCTCCCTTGCCCTTCGATGGGGGCTTCCGTGCCTGTGGCTTCGTCTGCTGGGGCTTCGCGATGGTGAGCTCCTTCATCAAGGCGGCCTGGAGTGCGCCCGTGTCGTCCATGAGGGTCTGGGTACAGTGGGCGAAGGTGTGCCCTTGGCGCATCAGCAGGGCGATCCGCCAGCCCCCGTCGAGCCAGTAGGTCTTCAACTGCTCGATTTTCCCCGGTCGGGATCGGAAGAGTTGCTTCCACCAGTTGATGTAGGCCTTGATGTCGAGTTCATGGCCCAATTGGCAGAGGGTCCAACAGAGCTCAATCGCCTCCAGGGCATCCATCAAACTCAAGAGGCCCTTGGGGCTCCACTGTTGCTCCTCCTCGATCACTATCGTGTTGTGCTCTTCATCGACCGCCAATCGGCTCTGAGTTTTCTGTCGGAGCTCTTTGTTGAGCGAGTTGAGAGAGCCTGAACTGTCGAAGCACCTCGCTTCGAGGATTTCATGGAGCTGTGTTGGCGTGAATTGGTGAGAGATCCACGCCTCGTGCCAGATTCGGGCCATGACCCGTTCGGCACCGACCAGCATTTTCATCGGAAAATCACGCTGGCGTCCGGCAATTTCTGTGTCAGCGTAGAACTTCACGAGCTTCTGGAGTTCTTGAGGAGGTATCTCCCGCGGCACAGTGGGTGCCGATTTGCTCGTCGTTGGTTCGGTCGGTTGGCCTCCTCCTGCTGGCGGGGGCAACCCCAGTGGCTGGCTATTGGCGCCACTGGCTTGGGCGTGCATGCCGCCTTTGTCCCTGCACTGATTCCACAGGAACCGAAGTGCAGCCCTCACCACCGGGCCTTCGGTGGAGGAGATCTTCCATTCTGTGCCTTCGATCTCTTCGCCCTCGAGCAGGGGCTTGAACAGTAGCTCATCAATCTCTTGAAAGGAGTCGGCCATCGCGGCCAGAAGTCCGGTTGAGAGGACCTGCTTGGCTCGCAGGTACCCGTGCAGCTTCTCCGGGAGGCCGCATGCGGTGGCAAGCGCTGCGAGCTCGGCCGACATGGCGCGCATCGACGTCGGTCGAGGGGGTGGCGCCCACGAGGCGTCGTCCCAAGTTGCCTGATCCATGAAAGGGATCGGCTCCGAGAATTGTGTGTCACACAGGGGTCCTCGGAACCTCAGGGGTCTTCGTCTCGGGGGGGCCACGATGCGAACGGCGTCGGAACCGTTGGATTCCCCGGGGGCCTGGTGGTCTAAAGCTTGGTGTGTCCAGGTAAGTGCACGACAGTGACGAGTGGGAGCCTGGTGGTCTAAAGCTCGGTAGGGCCAAGTACGCTCGCGCCGGCTTCCGATCCGTGCGGTGCAGGGCATTTCACTCGGAATCGCTGCTTGTCGATGAGGTTTCGGACTCGTCGGATTGGCGGTCCATGACCTCTGTCTCGGAGGAAGCCCCCGCGGCTTCGGGGGTGTCGGGAAAACATTGCCTACATGGCTGGTCGAGTCGGTCCGAGCGCCGGAAGCGGGTCAATCCATATGGTCGCCCGCACTTCGTGCGCCATTCGGCCGGAACGGCCCCGTTCTCTCGCGGGTCCGGCAGGTAGGCCTTCCGAATTACCACGTATTTCGGTGGTGTGTTCAAGGAGGCGACCTTCTTGGCCAGGCTCTCCAGTTTGGTGCGGAGCTCCGCCAAGTCAGTGTCCCGCACGAACGAGGGTCGTGCATCGGGGGTTTCTGGGTGACCAAGCGGTCGGCACGGTCGAAGGAGTGATGCCTCCTGGATGTACCTCTGGATGGCATGCGAGCTCCAACGGCCCAGCAGGAGGATCGTGTTCGTGTCGACTCCATGAGCCGCCAGGAACTGGGATCCCGCCACCCGCAGTGAGTGGCCACCGAAGCGCTCCAGGGAGCGTCCATTAGGTCCGACCCGGGTGGTCTCGGTACCTGTCAGGCCGATGATGTTTCGAATGGCCTTGATGGTGTCCGCCTTGGACCTGGTGTGACCTCGGCTGTCCGGGAAGAGGGGTGTGCGGTCGGTCATGAGCTCGATCTTGTCGATCCGACGCCTCAGGGCGTGAACGATGCACAGAGGTTCGGTGCCTGCGGAGCAGGAACACACGTGGGATCTCTCGATCATCTCCCCCTTTGTGTCCGTCTTTGAGACGGGAAGGCTCCAGTGAACAACGGGGTGGTCGGAGGAGGTATGCTCGAAACGAACGTGAGAGGCTCGAGCGTTCGCGAGTTCGATTTCTCGCATGAGGAACCAGGAGCCGCTCAGCACCATGATGTAGTCGTCCTCGATGTGCTGGAAGTCGGGCAGGTCCCATAGTGTCCTGAGCAAGGCGAGGTCGAACGAGTCCTTGAGTTTGGAGGGGCCCAAGCCGCGTTCGATGCTCCGCACGGCATCCTTCATGCTGACTTCGACTTCGACAGGAATGTCGCCGTGGCGAACGACGTGTTCGCGTCGGGCTGCGCTGAAATACAGCTTGGCCGATTTGTACCCTCCGGCTTTGAGGGAGGCCCCCACTTTCTCGATGAGGTCCGGGGTCAGTGGCCATGGGGGCACGTGCCACGCTCGGGCGATCGTCTCCCAGGTCTTGACTCTGCTGTTGTGTGGATGCGAGTTGCTCCTCGCCCAAATGTCCTCCCGAAAGGATTTCAAGGTCCGGTCCGATTGGTTGGCCTGTGCTGACTCGAGGGCCCGCTTGAGGCTGCCCCCCGTGGAGGGATTGATCTTGGGAAGGTCTCGACGTGGATCTTTCGGTGAGCCATCCTGGTGTGTCTCCAGCCAGGTGGCCAAGGGTATCTGCAGCATGGATGTCTCCTCATCAGTCAGGTCGAGTCTTGACCATCGGGGTCGTTGAGCGGCCAGAACGGATGGCGATGTCCAGCCCAGTTCGACCAGCGTGGGAAGGATGCGTGTGACGGCCGCTATCTCGCAGGCCGCTATCACTGTGTTCCATCGATCGGCCAGAGCCATGCTAACGGCTGTGGCAAGCGCACAAAGGGTGCGAATCAAAACATGGATAGAGGGGGGTGTGGGAATCCGACGATCGACACCAAGTCACCGAATCTAAGTGCTGCACATCTGACGAATGAGCGTCAGTCCAAGTGTTCGTCTCTGACTAAGGTCCCAACACCGACCGGCATCGAGCGAGTTTTCATACCTAATCCGTGCATCCGGTTTCACGCTTATGGTGATTCGAACTCGAGGCGGCGACGTGCCAGGCGCAAGTCATCTGGGTCCTGGGTCGCCAATGCCATCATAGCATCACCGATCGCTGCGACCTGGCGATTGCGCTTCACAACTGCCGTGCGGCCGATCAGGTGTGCGTCCTCAAGGTATGCACACAGGGTCTCAAACATAAACTCCATGGGCCAGGCATTGGTCAGGTGAGCTCCTCGGCGCAGTCCTCGAACCACGTGGACGCTGCGAGCGGCCGTTTCCACCCAAGTCTCCAAACGGATGTTGGTCCACCCGCTGAAGATCTCCATCAAAGGCCGTGGCCGAATCTCGGCCGGACTGTAGAAGTCGCCCACGTGCTTCGTGAGGCGGATCAAGGAGGGGTGCACCTCGTCGGCAGTATCGCGGGCCAAAGTGACGGCGGCCATCGTGATGGGCAAAATGCCGTTCGTCCGGTTGTCCACGAATTGACACCTGCTAATATTCCATAGGCAGGTGAAGATGTCGCCCAGCCCATCCCACTCAGTGGGATAGGTCCGGCTCCACGTCAGCAGCCACCGCGCCATCTCTAGCGCCATGGCATTCGGGCCGCTGGTTTCCACCATCCTCGGTGTCAACCACAAAAAAAAGCTTGAGCCCGACCTTCGGTCGACGCCAGCTCTGTGTCACTGCGCACAATTGCTTTGTGCTACCCAACAACCGGAGAACTCTTCGACGAGAAAGTTCCGAGTCGCGTCACAGTTCCGGCTGGGAGTTGCGCAAGATTGGACACAAGGGTGTGAATGAGTGGGCACGAATAGGAAACAATTAAAATAAATGAGGTGCAAGTGGCCGAAAGGGTAGGCTGAGGGTGGTCGTGTGTGCACTTGTCGCACGGAATCCGAGGATTGAAAGCGCAATGTCAGCAGCGCATTGCCGCAAAAGCCACCCTGGAGCCAAACAAGCTCTCATGGCAACAGTCGTCAGCCGTGATTGTCAAGTAATGCCCCGTCCTATGGCTTCAACTGCTTGGCTTCTTGCTTTCACAGCTTGGGCTGCTTGTTCAATTGAAATCTACCTTTCCGGCGAAACATTTACACATTTTTCTAGAGATCTGGATGAATGCGGTTTTGAGGTGTATAACATCATACTGCACTAAATTTCCTCGATCAATTCCAACTGTTTTGTTCTTTATTGAAACTTCCATCCGCGCCCTGAAAAACGAGAGAGAGAGAGAGGAGGGAGGGAGGCCGAGTAGAAACGTTAGAGACAAAAGGACGGTATGTAAATATAGAGAACACCACCCTGAGGGCCCTTCTGGTGCCAAAGCTACTGGGCGCAGGCCAAGTCCTGCCAAGAGCGATCTCTTCCCTTACGCTGACTCAACAGCTTGGCTTTCGGACTGGACTCTGTCTTGCCCCTACCTTGAATAAGAATCAATAAGGTCAGGGCGAGACCAGAAACGTAGTAAAGGTTCAGTAAGACCTGCCCCACCAAGAGGCAGTTCTGCTTTGGCAGTTGTGAACTCTCTGAAGAAGGCAGGTAATACTTAGCAATTCGGCATCCCACATGCGTAATGCATTCTACATATTTGCCTGGCTGCTTCCAGTTGGACAAACAACTGGAACTTACGACACATCAATCCCGTTCAATTTCTGGGGTCCCGCGCCGAAGGAGGCAGCAAGCCAAGAGCAGCTTGACAGTTGTGGTCGTCGAAGTGGCAGGCTGCCTGGGCAAGGCAGTCAGAATCACCGGACAACATGCAAACACCAACAGACCCTTGAGAGCTGCACCAGTTGCATCCTGGAGGCTTTCCATGCTCCCCTCGAGGCAAACGGGACCCAGTGGGCCGAATGATCGAACGTCAAGGAAAACTTGGAGAAACAGTTGCAAAAGGAGCAGTCAGCCTGACCATCCTTCAAGCAAGACACAAGTTGCCGCACAGCTTCACCTTGAGCAAATCAAATCCATAAAACCACTGCTGCATGGTACGAAAAGCGCTTCAAATCATTCAATATTCAGCATCTGCAGACCGCACACATGACAACCAGTCATTGACCTTCTATGACCTTCCGAACAACGGCCTAAGTCCAAAGGGGGCTGGAAACCTTTTGAAACCTTTACAACCAAGAAGCTTCCAAATCCACAGCTGCGCAAGCGTGGATCACATACAACTCGTGCCACCCGAAGACCTTCACAGTGCAAGACTAAGGCTGCTTTTTGCGTGCCATGTTCTTGGCCTCGGAGGCCGCTGAGCTGGAGCTGTGGGAAGTCCTTTCAAAAGAGCTATTGTGTGTGTACCCTTTCGGATCTTGTGTGGTCAATTGACTCGACATAGTCCTTCTAGAGGGGCCCTTGCAAGCCATACGAACTTCTTGGGCTGTCCCATGCAACGAAGTCGCAGGCTGCTGTCTGGCACCGTCCTGCTCCAAGCAGAATGTCGTGAGGTGCGACCTTGACAGTCTGCTCGACCTCTAGTTGGCGATGGCAAGACCAGCCGGGGGCAGCTCAACGAAAAATAGACTTTTGAGGCTGCCACCCTCGGTCCTTCTCTGATGGCAACAGCCTTGTCATTTACAAAATTAATGTTCACTGCACTTATTGCAACACACCGCTAAATTACAAACTTTGTGTATATATACACACACCTGACGGTCACCTGACCTGAATCTCCAAGGGCCAGGCTCGGGCGCTTCAAGGATGCACAGCAATACCTCAATCAGAAGTGCAAACCCACACTGCGACACTGCCTGACTTACAGTCACAGGGCTCAATTGCCCAACCGACAGGCAATAGGGTCTAGTCTAATGGGGGCTGGACAACCAGCGGCGAAGGGCTCACTGTGCAGGCTGAATCTGTCAGAAGAAACTCTTGCATGGAGAATTGCCAGCTCCGCAAACTGTATTGAGCAGTCGCTGGAGGTTTGCTCCTCCGGCTGCATCGTGAACCAGCACCATGGTTCGCACGTACCTGTGCGCTGCATCATGATGCTCACAAAGGTGCAAAAAACATCCAATGAAGTGATCACACAGAATGTTGTTTCTCAACACTCTGGAACTTAATTACAGGCCCAGCTGATCAGCGCACTCCTGTGACATCATGCTGATGTCACTCGCAGAAGTGCGGTAGTGCCTCGCACTACAAAGTAACACAACGAAAGCGGTGTGCGAGTGGCCTGATGGCAAGCTCGAACATTAAAAAGTAAAATGAGAATTGACTTCTTGTGGCTGCCGAATCCTAATCCCAACAACAGGCTCCCATTTGTAAAGTGGAAAACTGTCCTCCTTGCATCGGAGATGGCGCTTGGGAGGTGGCACAGGTGATTATTTTCTGAAATTGAAAGGCGTCTAAACTGCTAAGCAGTAGGCTTTACCCCCTCCCTTCCCAACTCCACTGAGCAAGAGTGCGTTTGGAGCACAGCCACCAAGGCTTTTGCAAAGCCATTGGTGCTGTCAGCAAGAAGTGCCTGATGAACGCTGGGTTGCGATGTGGCCACTGAAGTGTTCAACTTTGCAGCCATCTTCTAAGAGTGGGGCTTGGTCTACTTCCAGGAGTCTGGTGTTCCTGGGGCCTGAGCCCGACAACAACATTGCAGTGGCATAGGCCCAGAACATGTTCATAAGCAAGAGTTGTTGTCTGCTGTTGTCGTGGGTGGCAAATGCTGCAGGTTCTTGTCACCGGGCTGTACGAAGCCCGGACAAAGCCTTGACCAGTACAGACACAGAGGACAACACCCCAACCAACATAGGAGGAAAACAGGAGGATGAAAAAGGTGGCATAGTGTTTTCCCACTAGGAACAAGAAGCTACCAGGTGGAGGCCATCGCTATTGGGTTGGAGGCCATCTCTTCTAGGAACAAGAAGCTAGTGTGTTTCTTCCGCTTCGCCATTTCGCAGCGTGTGACCGAGCATTCACGAATCTCTTCGTGGCCAGTCTTGGCCGGCCGGCTTGCCTGCTGAGATGGGCTCCGTTGCGTCACAAACCGATCGGCCGATCGGCAATGGGTGGGGCGCCATCACAAGACCATGCGAATCACGGCAACGAATCACTGTTCTTTGGTCACGTCTGGAAGCAGCTTCAAAAGCAGGCTGCATTCACTGTGGAACCTATCACGCTTCTAGTGTGCAGAGCGTTCGGATATAAACCCGACTGCTCCCTGGTAGTGGCCCCACAGTCGATCGGCAAAATTTGGGTTCTGGATCCTTCCAATCAGGGCTGACCCTGTTTAAGGCTGATGAAGTGCCTATGTCACTAAGCACTACTCCATTGGCCAAACTCTGGTACCCCAAACAAAGGCCCACTCCAGGTCCTCCAGGTGAGTGCACTCCTGCTTGGCCAAGAAACATGCGGTAATGACACCGCGACGCTGATGCCAGGTCCAGGTGGGCCATTTGCATGGAGAGTGGTTCCGGCCCGCAGGGCAGTGTTCCAAGGACATGGTCAAGCGTGACCTCTTGACTCTGGTGGATGTGTCTCACGAGCACATAATGAATCTTGGAACTGTCTTGTGGTCCTTCAAGCATGGCTCCCCACTGTGGCAAAGGAATGCTACAAGCATCAGGCGGTTCAAAGCGGGTTGTTGAAGTCCAGCATGTTCGAACGAGCATATGAGTGAGGCACCTAACAATCGAAGTCCACATGTCAGCACGTGTCCAAGTAGCAGCAGGCGCCTGGAAATGCAAATGAATGAGACAATATCTGTCTCCGGGCCAAAACACTGGTTCACCAGAATTAGAAAACCTCCATGGTCTTTATGCTGCGCCCGTGTGCATTGGCCCGGTGTCCATGAGTGCACCCAGCAGCGTGTATTGCGTGCGACGAAGTGCAAAAAACTCTCGCCAAATGGCGCTGCTCAGTCTTTGAATGTTCCAAGTGAGCAGGGACAGCCGCTGTCCACGCGGAAAGGTTGGTCCACGACGTAGTCCATCCTGAGGCTGGCTCAACAGGGTCTGTCATGTCGGTGACCCTGCGGTCATGTCGTAAACCCAGTGGCAGAGAGGCTCCTCGACGAAAGCTCCCTTTTGAAGCTTCACCTAACCGACCTATGTTGGCTTCGGAGGTACTTAGGGCATAGGCTTGTGGCTGGGGACAGGCGCGCAACACCCAGACCAATATAGAGGCACTAGCATCTAAACAAACGCCCCACCGAAGCGGACACAAACTGCGGACAGCCCCCAACAATATAGTGCCAGGGGGAACATGATGACAACCAAAACACAAAACCGAACCCAGGCTCGCAACTACATCCAAGAGCATGGACAGGTGCAGAGACAAAAGGACAGCAGGACATGAAGCGGATGGCGCGACCAATAACTCGCACTTGTACGCCAGGACTGGATGCCCACAGAGGTGTGCTTGGCATGATGGTTCGTGGTTGTAGTCAATTTAATTTAAGCCCCCTGCCAAAGTCAGAAGTGCTCCCAAGTTCATGTAACGAGTGCTCCTGCGGACGCCAAGAAAAGGTTTCGGGCACTCTTGCGGAATGACTGCAGCAAATGGCAGGCTCATGCTTGGTTCCCAGCCGAACCAGCGCCCAAAAATAGCACTGAATCCTGCAACAGGATTACTAATAGCAAGGTCATCTGCCACTTGCTGGATTGCTACAGCAGTCTGATTGAGATTGTCTCGGGTCCAATCCAGAAGCTCTTCCAACTGACACCCGTGGCCATATCGCACTGGTTCCTAGCACAGCGCAACCCCGAGCAAGCTGGGATGCAACTCCCTGGATCAAATGGAAAGTATCACGGCACAGCAGCGTACCGTCAGGAAAAAGCGGGTCTGCTTGAAGCCTCTGCATTCAGTGCATTCAGCATTCAGGCCTGTCGGTTTGCCAGTTCCGTTGAGTGACTCTGCGGGCAAGTAATGACATGACAACCAGAGTTGGGAAAGTGGCTAACCCACCCTCCCTCCTTTGAACAAACTGCGGCAGGACATCGCAGGTGTACC